GACTTGCCACGGTCTCCAACCCTCCTCCTTTCTCATCCGGGCTTGGGACCGGCCATGGCGGAGTTACCTACTTTTTTATTTATGCCCTAATGATATGATGTGGTTTGTCAGCATCCCTAGCCATAGTATCATTCATTAGTTTGATTCTAATGATTTGATACTAATAATATGCTTTTTAGCGTCAGCCCTAACGACAAAAACGTTCATCCCTGCTATTTGGTATGGACCTTGCTATGGCCATTATGCGCATTCTACGCCTAAGACAAAATGTATTGCTCTTTAGAGCTTAATTGACCGAATAAATTTAGGTTGCACTACTTGGTTATCCAGCTCTTTAATATATGGTAAAGCTGTTCGAAATCACAGTTGAATGATTTAAATTTCCCGGTTATCTTATGTTTTTCTGACTTAGAAGATATGCATTACATAACTAAATAACTGAATTATTTTCTTTGGAAGTATGATTATTTTTCAAGCGGTAGATTTTTAATTAAACGCTTTGGCCCTTATAAATGTCAACCAGGATGTTAGCAGCAGTCGAGGAGTTTCACAATGCGGTGGAGCTCTTAATCGCAATAATTGATGGCTTTTTGCAGAAGGCAGTTTTCAGCTATTGTTGAGATTATGTTGATGTGAAAGACGATGGTAATAGTGAGGAGATCGTGTTATCTGTATTGATTATGACGATGAGATACTATTGATAATGAGAATAATAATGAATATAGACGATTGGATATAATAATAATCAGTAGAGAGCATTGATGACGGTAATAAGGGTTGTTTATTAGGTTGAGTTGTTCATTATGCTTCTGATGATATTTTGCCGGTAATGACAGTGTATATTATGATAATGATTACGATGCAGATTAAAACAGAAAGCAGTTGGAAATGCAGATGACCATAGGAAAAATATGGAGAAATTTCAGTAAGGGAAGGAATTTTTCGTTGGAAGAATAATTAGCTTCATTCACGGTATATCCGCCAACTCGATAAGGGTGTCGACGTCCATCTTCATCTTCCAGAGATGCTTGTCCTTTTGGGTCGCGGAGTCAGACGCGTCAAACAGTGCTTCCATTTTTCCCAATCCTGTGCCAGAGTCTGAGCTTCGGCAAAAGACAACTGGAGTCTGGAATAGACTTCTTCCATATATTTGCACCAGGTTAATCTTTGCCGTTCCCTGGGTCTTCTGCCGGTGTGTTTCGCAAGAAACGGTTGCTTCGCCTTCCTTTTTGATGACATTCGCAACATATGCCCAGAGACTTCTCAATCTGGAGAAGCAAAGGCTGTATTCCAAGGCTCTTCCGGATGTCAGTATTCCGGACCATGTGGAGACGCGTAAGGCCAGAGACTCGTCTAAGAAAGCCCATTTCAGCACCTTGTACCCGGGTTCGAAGCTTTTCAGTCATGGTCCACAACTCGACATTCTTGGGCTTTAATAAAAGATTGCAACTGTATGATTATTTTCGTTTGTGTTTGCAAATGCAGGAGTGAAAAATCGATTTCAGTAAACTTTGAAGGTGTAAATTATGCTAGGCGACGAATCTTAAATAACAGAAATGTTTAAAATGTTGACGGTGAATCATCTGCGGTTTCAAATGGTTTCTTTATCTTCCTTTATATGTAGTCTTTTTTGATATGGCACAGATGTAGAACAATGACGTAATTTAATAACTTATATAAGTTGCTGTTATTTAAACGTTTTAGATATCAGTAAATAATCTGATTTAAAGGTTATTTTATTCTTTGACTTCTTGCTTAATGTGTATTAATCTGTGATTAATCCGGTTTTGCTAATATCATCGTTCTCACATCGACTGATTTCGAGTGACACGCCTTAGTTTACTGCCTCTTTCCAGGCTATGGCGATAACCTGTCTGAGTAAAATCATGGACCAAGATCAACGGCATGACCACCTACGAAGGAAAAACCTGTTTCCTTTCTCCAAGCTTCGCGGCTACCTTCAATGTCATATAGAAGCGATATGTGCCGAAGACGACGCCAAGTTACAGCGCGTGCTGACCGATATCGAAGCCGATATGCGTCCTTTTTACATTTACCTAGCCAGAATGGTAGCTAGAATTTGTTTGTACTGTTTTTCTCTATTTCCGGTTGTAATTTAGGCATTTCTTTCCACGCTGGCATCGAGCGAAAGCGGAGGCGCATATCTCGTTCAGTTGGGTGCCATTAACGGACTGGCGAACTGTCGTTGTTTTGGTTTTGTACCTGCGTCGGCTCAGCTGTGGTATGAGTTACAAAATTTTTGTTGCTCGACGTGTATCTGCAATTTTTTCGGTAAAACACGAACACTTGTACGGCATCTTTATTTTAATTCGTATTTTTACGCTAAAAATCACCTTCCAGCATTACACCTTTTTTTGCCAATTTTGCGAGCTGTATGGGAGTGAAATTAAGTGAAATTTTACTTCTTCGAACACCCGCTGACGTTAAATAAGAGTAGGACAAATAATTGCATAAATAATATGCTTGTTGCAGCTGTAGTTCAAGCACGTTTCGTAAACTGTGTCTTTAACTGCCAGTCTTCTTAAGTATGAGCTTCCTCATCCTGTGAAATCAGCCCGGAATCCAGTAGTAAGTGAGTAGCTTCCTTTCAATTGCTGCACAACTATGTTCTGATACTAACCTAAGTAAAAAATGTTTTGCCCTCTGCGCATTTTAATCATGTTAGTGTACTGCATACTCCCACTCGATGTCTTTTCCTCAATAAAGTGATCGTCTTCGAGGAAGACTGATTGAATAGTAAACTATTTCCCATGTGACGAACTCCTCGTCGCCCCCGGTCCTTCCCTTCCGGATTTTATAAGCGCAGTGCACTCGTAGACACGTTTCTTATAGCATGATATAAACTGTCAGCCTCGATAATCACTGCCTTAATAGCCTTCTCATTGCGGACAGGGCGACGGTAGCCGTTTAGCTGGGCGGGGTACCAAGTATTTGATTTTGCCCATCATGGTATATACCAGTTTGATGTTCGTTACCGTTGTCAGACTTGTTAGTTTCTGATCGTGGTGACTGTGCCAAGTCACTGAATCAGCGAAGAATAGAGATTTGGTTAGCAGTTCAAGTTAATGTAATTAGCATGTGATCACTTCATGTAATTAGTTATAGATCGATCGAAAAATCCCTGTGAACACGATGCAAAATTTTCGTCAGTTAGTGTTAATTTCAAAGTTTGCATTTTCATCTGACGATTTCATTGTGATGATTCTTTTAGCTATGACAGAGTTATTCATTGACATGCAGTATGATAAAAGAAAGCAAAATGCAGGTCGAGGCACATGTATCCAAAGTGCGGAGTATCCAGTTCTCGCATTCCATGACCGTTCGACGGCTTTTTGACCTCAAGCAGCCATAAAATTAAACAAAGTCTGAAATTCGCAAGCTTGCCAGATGCATCACATTATTCTAGCAGAGAGCTTTCCATTGATAGAGATGACGTATGGGTTGAAGAAATGTAATTGGTACAAAAGACCATATACCAGTGATACGGGATCAGATTGGTGAGAGATGGACTTCTCGCGTAGTCACTCACAACGGAATTGGAGCGAACTTAGGTTTCGCAGCGCCAACTCACAGAAAGCTTCCCGTCGAAATATAACTCGAGTCAATAGTTCATGACAATCGTCCAATTATACATATTCAAAGCGGCGGCCGTAACATCTAGCTACAATAACAACCGCCGGTCTTCGCCGAAATGTCTCATTCCATCATGAGCCGGTAGCTTTGGCTAGTTTTTTACTCTCTTTGACGGGAAAGCTGAGGTTGACGGGTTGGCCGCTCGTCAGCATTTGGTAAAACCTGCAATATATTTACTTCGTTCAAGTTGTTTTGTCCTTTTCAAGTTGTTCTCTCAGGTAGTATACATTCTACTTTTTTAAATGGCGCTGTGTTTTCTTTACTGGTTCCATCCAGTATCCCATATGATCCTCGTCGTGCCTTGCTTCTTCTCTGTTGTCGCACTAAGTCGGTAACAATTTCATTAGTAATACTATTGGCTGCTACATATGAACAGCAGTGAGAGGCTGCACCTGTTTTGCGAACAAATCCATCAGCTTACGATTCGAACACGTCTCTTGTCATTCAGCAGGAATTATGTAATGGTATGACCGGTTTGAGAAGCCTGACCATGATTTAGTCAAGGGTGGAATGTCAATGGTTTCACTTCTATGGTTCAGCCAATCTGCATGACGAACCATGCCATAAAAAAGTTCATATTCTCTTATCAGCAGTACTTTCAGAGGCACTGAGAAAAACACTCAGCCCTCTTAAGTTTTGAGAGCGGAATTTTGATAGAATGCTGTTCCTCTTCTATGATTACCTCGTCACGGTTTGGCTTACGATTCATTTTTCATTACTAACCTTTCGTTGTTTTCTAGGCATAACGAAACCAACGATGATGGAACACAAAGTCTAGCTTCTCGGTATGAGTACGTCTTCTCGGCAGCGTTGAATTTCTGTCTATCAGCAATCATCGGAACCGGCAACAAGAACATCCAGACGATGACACAAATGATACACTTCCTTGTGACGAACCAGGACATTTTTAACTTATTATTCCAAAGTTTCGAACGTTCTGATATTTCGCTGGTGAAGCTAAAACTGCAGGAAAAGGCAGTTGCTGCCATCACGCAGTGCCTTTCTGCTGGTGAGTAAATGCCAAAGAAAAATTGTTGAGAAACTCTGAAGCACATTTGCAACGTAGTCACACGTGGTCAGTCGCTCTATCGTTATTAAAAGTTCACTCAGTATCATTTTAAATACGGTTGGCGACTTTGACGTTTAAACTTTTTGGGAGTATATTTGTAACATGCGTAATAAGTAGTTGCGCTGGCAATTATAGTAGCATTTGTGTCTAAGCTTGTAGTAGCATTTGTGGTAGAATTAATACTTGGAAACTAGAAACAAAAACAGTGCTTGTAAAGTCTCAAGCAGTAATGGGGGTAGTAATTCTGAAAGAGATCGTTGCAATTGTAATAGTGGTAGCATTTTTCACTGTAGTGACGGTACAAAAGGTATTGGCCTTTTGACTGGATATCGGTAGCTTCGAATCTACCATAGTAAGTTTATCTTAGCAAGGCAGGGTATTTTATTAGTGTACTGGTTGTGGCATTGAAACGTAACTTCAAATTGTGCTCAACTCAGTGCAGCGGCATGTAGTTTTATGAAGTCAATCTGATGTCATAGGAGTCGGCTGTTTCAAACTACCACTAATCTGCCCTTAAAGAAAATTCTTGAGGTACATGTCGAAATGTCAGATGTCGCCACGATTTGTTACCCTATAGACCACGGGGTTGTGCATAAGTAAACTCTTTTTTGTTGTATGTTAAATGTACATTTTTGTATTTTATGTGTGTAAGTAGGTTATCTTATTGTTGTGGGCAATGCTGTTTGAAAAATAGTAATGACCAGTACTGCTGGTAATAATAACTCTTGCAGTCGTTCGTCACAAAGATTTACTTGGCACACATTCTGCACATCATTTTGCCGATGCTGAAGATTGCAAATTCAACAGCTCCAATAACAGTGGAAATTTATTAAATGAAATAAATAAATTGTCATCTCTAGCGGTTGCAACGGCACTTTTAACGTTCAATTTAGTTAGTGTACGCGTTACAGTGGTTTCGTTGATAACAACAATAGTTTGTTCATATTTCTTCTATTACACACTGCACCTAAAAAATTAATGACCGTGTTGGGATTAGTAGCAGTGGCATTGTGTTACTAACATAGTAGTCGCAATTATTACAATAGGAGTAGTGGCTGTTTCGACTATAGGGTGCTGAAATCAAATGAGATTTTTTGCTAGGAAACCTCAGAGATATTCCTAATGGGTTGAAGATGCAGATCAGCATGTTCGGCCGGTCACTTTTCCGTCTGTTGCCACGCGTGTGTCGGTTTCCCGACTGGATTCGGGAAGCCACCGACGGCAAATGTCAAAGCAGCCGAGCAATTCGGAGTGAGGTTCTGATACTGCTTACGGTCGGTCACGTGATCCGATGGTGTGCGAACAAGTTGCCACAACTTGGAGGTAGTGAAACGGACTCTAAATTTTCGTTGGCAATTTAACACTTTTCTTTTAGGAGACCCATCTTTCCAGTTAATGTTTATGCCAAGTTATTGGGGTGGCGTTAAATCGTCCGATGCCAGCACGGACGATTTGTTCGAGTTGTGTCGCAGCTGTTACGCTCACTGTAAGATGCTAAGCGGCCGTCAGTCGAAATTCCGTAAGATGTTTGCCGATCTCAAGGAGATGTCTTACGACGAGCTGCAGACTGTGAGTGTTTTTTACTCATTCAAGTTCGTAATATTGTCGACTGAAACCTTTTCTGTTCCCACGGTGCATTTTTTTTAATAGATCAGTTGTATGTATAATTTATAAATTAATTAGACTTAGATAAGTTACCCAATTGTAAGACCACTAAGCGTAATTTTCAACCTTTTTGGTGCGCCTAACTATATCATATATATATGCCGAAAAATCACTAAGAAAAGCACAGAACTCATGAAGAAACAAAGCGAATTAAGGTCATTTGACAGAATCGTGACAATATAACTAAGTAAACCTGTTCCTTTCGTCTAGAGCCATTATATCTAAAAAATTTTTCTTTTCCTTTCCAGTTGATTTCTTTGCGGATTATTCCTGTTCGTTTCCATTGAATGATGCTGTTATGTTATGCTAAGACTGGCAGCGATATGTTTCAACATCCTATTTATATACTTGTTTCCCATTTCTTCAAGGTAGTTATCTACCCGCGTAGAAAAATGACGCATCACATACTATCACTGGGAACGACACACTACCACACTGGAATTCTAGAAAATCGGACAAGCAGATTCAGCAGTCAGAGATAAATCTTAAAATTTAATTCTTCAAATGAATCTCCTGTTTGTGCTGTACATGAATAGAATGGTCACGAGCAGTCAAGGCGAAAACTTTATCAGTGTAGGGGATGTAGAGACGAGAACGTTCCTGTTTCCAGACGACGTTTTTAATTCGCATCTTCTGAAACAGATCTACAGCGCTCTCTGAAAAGGTTCGCAGTCGAATTCGACTTGGCCGACATGCGCGTCAACGTACCTGAAATGAAAATTCTAGTGCCTTCTCGACTTCACATCTCCTATACCGATACTCTCGTTGCCTTGGCAGCTCCTGACTATTCTATCCATGTACAACAAACATGGACAGGACGCAGCCTTGGCGGAGACCAGTGCGAACGTTGAATGGTTTCGACTTAACGCCATTAACTCTGACGCAGCTCCTGCTATCAGAATACAGTGATTTGATGGCCCTTGGCAGCTGGCCATCTATCCCGTATGCACGAAGACATGTCCACAGACTGTTGCATGGGATCCGGTCATACGCTTTCTCTAGGTCCACAAAACACATGTACACCGGGAGGGCATACTCCTACTACTTCTCAACAATCTGGTGCAGGGCAAATTTATGCTCAGACGTGCTTCGACCTTGCCGGAAGCCACACTGGTCTCCCTGTATCTTGAGGTCAGCTGTTTCGTGACAACTGCTTTCTAGCACCTTTGCGTAGACTTTACCGAGGAGGCTGAATAACATACTGCCCTAATAATTGGCGCATTCCTTCAGGTCTTTCTTTTTGAAAACTGGTACAATAACTCCCGTTTTCCAATCCGCTGGTGTCGTTCTCGTAGTCATCGCAGTTTGACAGACACGTGTTAGCCAGCACATGCCTTGTTCGCCTAATGCCTTGAGCATC